TGCTCAACACACGGGATTCGGGTGCGCAGCGAAATCTAACCCTCGCGAATATGTACTGAATACGAAACTGTGAACTATTGACACCGCAAACTTAAAGCGCTATTATACAGTGTGCACAGACTTTGTCGAAGCTGACAATACTTTGAGTTTTGTTGCCTGCTGAGTCATGTTCACAGATATGTGTTATATAAAGTATGTTAAAATGTATATATACAAACAGTTACATATAGCTATTCTGATCAACTATCATGTACTCCCCTAAGCGTGCCCCTCCCCAGTCCTTAAACTGGAAGTACTCAGACTGTAGACTAGAGTTACATAAGACATTGTAAAACATCATAGACAGAACTTATAACTTATAATAGGCCTGTCTTACTACATGTAATGTTTAGGGCTTTAATAGGCCTGTCTTATTTATATAATACCACATGTAAATGTTTAGGGCTTCAATAGGCCTGTCTTACTACATGTAAATGTTTAGGGCTATAATAGGTCTGTCTTACTGCATGTAAATGTTTAGGGCTTTAATAGGCCTGTCTTACTACTGGTAAATGTTTACGGCTATAATAGGCCTGTCTTACTACATGTAAATGTTTAGGGCTATAATAGGTCTGTCTTACTACATGTAAATGTTTAGGGCTTTAATAGGCCTGTCTTACTACTGGTAAATGTTTACGGCTATAATAGGCCTGTCTTACTACATGTAAATGTTTAGGGCTATAATAGGTCTGTCTTACTACATGTAAATGTTTAGGGCTTTAATAGGCCTGTCTTACTACTGGTAAATGTTTACGGCTATAATAGGCCTGTCTTACTACATGTAAATGTTTAGGGCTATAATAGGTCTGTCTTACTACATGTAAATGTTTAGGGCTTTAATAGGCCTGTCTTACTACTGGTAAATGTTTACGGCTATAATAGGCCTGTCTTACTACATGTAAATGTTTAGGGCTATAATAGGTCTGTCTTACTACATGTAAATGTTTAGGGCTTTAATAGGCCTGTCTTACTACATGTAAATGTTTACGGCTATAATAGGCCTGTCTTACTACATGTAAATGTTTAGGGCTATAATAGGCCTGTCTTACTACATGTAAATGTTTAGGGCTTTAATAGGCCTGTCTTACTACTGGTAAATGTTTACGGCTATAATAGGCCTGTCTTACTACATGTAAATGTTTAGGGCTATAATAGGTCTGTCTTACTACATGTAAATGTTTAGGGCTTTAATAGGCCTGTCTTACTACTGGTAAATGTTTACGGCTATAATAGGCCTGTCTTACTACATGTAAATGTTTAGGGCTATAATAGGTCTGTCTTACTACATGTAAATGTTTAGGGCTTTAATAGGCCTGTCTTACTACTGGTAAATGTTTACGGCTATAATAGGCCTGTCTTACTACATGTAAATGTTTAGGGCTATAATAGGTCTGTCTTACTACATGTAAATGTTTAGGGCTTTAATAGGCCTGTCTTACTACTGGTAAATGTTTACGGCTATAATAGGCCTGTCTTACTACATGTAAATGTTTAGGGCTATAATAGGTCTGTCTTACTACATGTAAATGTTTAGGGCTTTAATAGGCCTGTCTTACTACTGGTAAATGTTTACGGCTATAATAGGCCTGTCTTACTACATGTAAATGTTTAGGGCTATAATAGGTCTGTCTTACTACATGTAAATGTTTAGGGCTTTAATAGGCCTGTCTTACTACATGTAAATGTTTACGGCTATAATAGGCCTGTCTTACTACATGTAAATGTTTAGGGCTATAATAGGCCTGTCTTACTACATGTAAATGTTTAGGGCTTTAATAGGCCTGTCTTACTACTGGTAAATGTTTACGGCTATAATAGGCCTGTCTTACTACATGTAAATGTTTAGGGCTATAATAGGTCTGTCTTACTACATGTAAATGTTTAGGGCTTTAATAGGCCTGTCTTACTACTGGTAAATGTTTACGGCTATAATAGGCCTGTCTTACTACATGTAAATGTTTAGGGCTATAATAGGTCTGTCTTACTACATGTAAATGTTTAGGGCTTTAATAGGCCTGTCTTACTACTGGTAAATGTTTACGGCTATAATAGGCCTGTCTTACTACATGTAAATGTTTAGGGCTATAATAGGTCTGTCTTACTACATGTAAATGTTTAGGGCTTTAATAGGCCTGTCTTACTACTGGTAAATGTTTACGGCTATAATAGGCCTGTCTTACTACATGTAAATGTTTAGGGCTATAATAGGTCTGTCTTACTACATGTAAATGTTTAGGGCTTTAATAGGCCTGTCTTACTACTGGTAAATGTTTACGGCTATAATAGGCCTGTCTTACTACATGTAAATGTTTAGGGCTATAATAGGTCTGTCTTACTACATGTAAATGTTTAGGGCTTTAATAGGCCTGTCTTACTACATGTAAATGTTTACGGCTATAATAGGCCTGTCTTACTACATGTAAATGTTTAGGGCTATAATAGGCCTGTCTTACTACATGTAAATGTTTAGGGCTTTAATAGGCCTGTCTTACTACATGTAAATGTTTACGGCTATAATAGGCCTGTCTTACTACATGTAAATGTTTAGGGCTATAATAGGCCTGTCTTACTACATGTAAATGTTTAGGGCTTTAATAGGCCTGTCTTACTACATGTAAATGTTTACGGCTATAATAGGCCTGTCTTACTACATGTAAATGTTTAGGGCTATAATAGGCCTGTCTTACTACATGTAAATGTTTAGGGCTTTAATAGGCCTGTCTTACTACATGTAAATGTTTACGGCTATAATAGGCCTGTCTTACTACATGTAAATGTTTAGGGCTTTAATAGGCCTGTCTTACTACATGTAAATGTTTAGGGCTTTAATAGGCCTGTCTTACTACATGTAAATGTTTAAGGCTAAAATAGACCTGCCTTACTACATGTAATGTTTAGGGCTTTAATAGGTCTGTCTTACTACATGTAAATGTTTACGGCTATAATAGGTCGGTCCTAATTACTAAATGTAAATGTTTAGGGCTTTTGTGTCAATGTGAGAAACAATGCTACCTCAGACTCTCGGAAACCAGTACTATTTCATGACTCAGTAGGCAACAAAACTCAAAGTATTGTCAGCTTTCACTAAGTTTGTACATACTTGCCAACCCTCCCTATTTAAGAGGGAGCCTCCCGGTTAAGGACCCTTAAATGTAGCATTTTCAACCAGTGAATTTGCAAAACTATTCATTTATTCTAAGAGCATGATTTCATCTGAAAGAACAGCTCCAAATATGTCGTTTTAAAGGGCTATTTTGTCTCTAGGGGCTATTTTGTCTTGTCTCTAGGGGCTATTTTGTCTCGTCTCTAGGGGCTATTTTGTCTCGTCTCTAGGAGCTATTTTGTCTTGTCTCTAGGGGCTATTTTGTCTCGTCTCTAGGGGCTATTTTGTCTTTTCTCTAGGGGCTATTTTGTCTCGTCTCTAGGGGCTATTTTGTTTTGTCTCTAGGGGCTATTTTGTCTTGTCTCTAGGGGCTATTTTGTCTCGTCTCTAGGGGCTATTTTGTCCCTAGGGGGTATTTGCACTAAGTCCCTTAGGTTTTGATTTTGAACATGAAGAATCTCCTCCATAGAAATTTCAAAAATGTTGGCAAATACGTTTGTGTCTGATAATTTTATCAGTTTTATACTTCATTTATTAAGAAGTGAATATTTTTGTGTGACTTATAATTAACTGATTGTATACATTTTATTTTTGAGCATTCGTGAAAACATGTGGTTTAATTAAAATTTGTTTCTCTTATTTTGTCGATCCCCATTCCACTGCCAAAGACTGTAATTAAGTATCGGGAGCTGATTTTTTTGGCATGACTTCAGCTTTGATAAACCGTTTCTGAAAAGGAAACCATACCATATTATGATAATTACACATCCTGCAGTTACTAGATCATTTGACCACAGGATATAGATTTTTAGTTTGTCTTGAGTTTGGACTTGAATGAAGGAGTTTCGAGGGAGATTGGTAAATTTTGGTAAAAATGACGAGTCTTCCTCATAATGAGGAAGGGTTGACAGCTATGCCTTAACTGACGTATTGATGTATAGGATCTGTTACGATAACACATAACTGTTATAAGGCTATTAGCTTGACACCATATTTATGTCATAATATAGAGTCAGCCCCCTGTATCATAGTAATACAGAGTCAGCCCCCTGTATCATAGTAATACAGAGTCAGTCCCCTGTATCATAGTAATACAGAGTCAGCTCCCTGTATCATAGACAGCTTCTGATTGGCTGAGACCATTCCAGCAGACTTCTGATTGGCTGAGACCAATCCAGCTATGACTTCTGATTCTAAGTTGTCACTACATGATTGATGGCGATGCCGAATTGTTTAACTCATTCACCCCTACATTTATAAAATGGACTTGCCCAGTCTTTGATTTGTTAAGGTTCAAATGTGACCTAAGGGTTGAATGGGTTAACATTGTATGTACAATTGAGGCAAGAGCCTGATAGTAAGTTGTTACTATAATTGATGGAAGAGCCTGATAGTAAGTTGTTACTATAATTGATGGAAGAGCCTGATAGTAAGTTGTTACTATGATTGATGGAAGAGCCTGTAAGTACTGTTAATGAATAGTCCCTGTCATGTATTTTTGTAGAAGATTAAAGAAAATCTCTATCATGTTGTTTTGTAATAGGTGACATATATACATTGTTTAAGAAAATCTCCCGCTTACATGTTTTTAGAATGTTTGCTGGTACTCAATAGTGCTACACAAACTTAAACAAAAACATCTTGTCTCAGAAGCTTACAGACGATAAAAACAAGAACGTGTCACCTCCCCGACATCGCACCTCCCCGACGTCCCACCTAGCTAGCTCCCCGAGGTCCCTACTCCCCCAGACGGTGTTATACGCATTGCGTGTTCATTGGTTATCTGTTCAGATCTCCACTTCAGCGTTTCCTTCCTCCATCCTTACTGGAGAAGTATTGTACTATAAATTGTATTTGTTTTACTAGGGATGACGTAGATTATATTACTGTTTCCTTCCTACATTGGAAAATTATCATTTCATACACAACAAATCGTACCGGCTTATAACTAAACGTAATATCAGTCATTCACATCAACAGGTTATCATTGATCGGTGACAAATATTTGTGACTTTAGATTATTTGGTGGAAACTTTTGTGTATATCTTTTTCCATGCGTCTGTTTCATTGTGAATAGACACTAGAATATCAAATCAATGAGTGTCGGCTACATACAACCTCCACATTTATCTGTAACCAGTCCAAACATGGGAGACGTTTTCCTCTTCACTGACGTTTGAAGGGATTATTGATATTCCGTGGAGTTCAACTGAATTTGAAGGTTATGGAATTCCTCGGCTTGGAGGAGTAGAAATGTGTATCAATTTCTTGGAGGAGTGTTCTTTGGGATTTACTATAACCCTTTCACCACTGAAGACCCTAATGAACTCGTCCAGACAAATGCATGGTAGGGTCTACTAAAGTTTCCTAGGGGTGCAAGGACTAAACATCAGCCTAGCAGGACTGTGATGTAACTATTAGAGGTTTTATCAGGGATCATGTTCGCAGTCAGAAAATTCTTTGAAGAAAATCTGTTCAGCTTGAGGAATTCACTGACAGGATTATTTGTACTTTTTGCACAAATTTCCAATCTTCACATCAGAAGGATCAATAGGTTTTTTCTTGTTTTAGAAAAATTTTGTTTAGAAATAGGAACAACATTATGCTCAAGGGAATTTCTGCAATTTCAGCTTGAAGCGTAATATATGTAAAAGAGGTGATGGAAGTGTTTTCCTTCGGTTTAAATGGACACTGATGTATCTTGTTAATTTGTGGAACTCGTTCCATTAGAAATCTCTCTCAAGATACAATTTCCATGTATATTGGTTTTTAAGCTTCACACCATGTAACTCTGCTATATACGATACCACACAGGCCAATCTCTCTATTGTCTCTACTCGGGAAGGACTATAGAGTTACTCTCATTGTTTAAAATCTTACCTCGGCTACTATGTCACTATTACCGTATTTATCCTGTAATAAGCCCAGGGGGCCCACACATGATCTCTGATAGAAAATAATAGGGGTCAGGCTTTTTATAGGATAAGGATACAATATTTGCTGGCAATTCTACTGGACGACAATAATTAAGAGTGGACTTATTGCTGGATACGTACAGTCTTTTGAAGCAGAATGGGACTGCGTTAGTTGCTGGCGAACTTGTATAGCTCAATTTGTTACAGCGTCTGTCTGTAGTTTTGTGGTTCCGGTTTCAAATCCGCATCTGGCCATTGCGTTTTTCCTTCCTTGTTACATTTGGGGCCCAATGACATAAACCCACAAAAGGAGGTCTGAGATAGCTCAGTTGGTTGATGTGTCCGTCCAGAGTTTGGAGGTTATGGGTTGGAGTCCTGGTCTGGTTACACTATCATCACTTCACTTTCTGCTAACATTTTGTAAACTTTACAAATTTTGGTACTAGAGGTGAAATTTCCATCTGATGGTGATGTATGGAATTTTGGTACTAGAGGTGAAATTTCCATCTGATGGTGATGTATGGAATTTTGGTACTAGAGGTGAAATTTCCATCTGATGGTGATGTATGGAATTTTGGTACTAGAGGTGAAATTTCCATCTGATGGTGATGTATGGAAACAATTTTACTTTTGTATGGAAGTTGTGACTATGAAAACACACGATGATGTGTTTCTACAATTTTTTTCATCATTCGGTGGAAACAAAGGAAAAATATAAGTTTCAGCCTTAACTGTCACTTACATTGTCTTTCTATCAAATTTTCATCGCCATCATTTATATTTGAAAGTTTAAATATTTTGTGGCAGTGTTACATCTCTGATGGTTTAATTTAGAACAACATGGTTATATGAGTCAGGTTTAATCTCTATCCTGCTGGCCGTTTGTACGGGAGACGAACCCAATGTACTTATCTTAGTCATTGCAAGAAACATCAGCACTACCACAGAGGAAAAGATTGATGTGATAATATTATATACATAAAGTAAATTGAATTTTATAGTAAAGATTGTGTTACATGAAGTATATTTCTGACTTTTCCTGATAATAATTAAATAAAGGCAATTTATCATCACACTATGAATCAGTTGTCCAAAGAAAAAACCAATATGAATGTTTTTATAATGCTTCCGAAACTGTGGCTGTTGTATGCATTTAGGATTGAGAATTTACAAGACTGAGATTTACACCGCTGAACTTTGACCCCAAAGTAACATCGTTGAAATTCTTCAAGTGGAGGTAACTAATTCAGGGGAAACAACCATGGATAAATCACGACGACCACCACTGTTAAATAACTGTGGAAGGTCTTATTCAGCTCCACTACATTTGACCAACGGCCAAGATTTTCGCCGGTCAGTTTCAATGAATGACACAATCTTTAAAAAAGCCAAGGAGAAGGATCCCCAAGGGAGACCACCCATTATCAGTTGTAGAAGGACTTGGATGAATGAATTTAACCAAATGAATCGTGGCAGCTCTGATCCAATTTTGATAAAAGGAACATGTGGTTGTACTCAAAGTGAAAGTAGATATGTAAGTGTTCATGAGATCTATCATGTGATAAACCATGTGATTATCATGTGATCTACAACTTCATATGTCAATTGGTGGTCATGTGACTCTTTGAAAAACTAATATTTACATTTTGTAAATGTTTTGTTTTCTTCATTCCTAAATGTGATAATTATCGTGAAATCTGCAACATAAGTCGCAAATAGTCTCATTTATCAGTTTAAATATAAACTTTTATTTATTGAAGAACGATAATGTAACAAGTTATTATGACTTATATTGATAACTTTTGTTGGGCCGGGTGTTAGCGTGGGTCTTAATGTAGGAGGAAAACTGGAGTACCCGGTGTCATGCATAAAATGTACCTCCTGCTTAAATAGTATCCGGATACTTTTTATGCAGAATAAAAAGTATCCGGATACTTTTTATACCCCTACCAAAAAGTACCCCCCCTGTATAAAAAGTACCCCCCCTATGAAAAAACCAGATGTTTCAAAATTTTTAATCAATAACAGTTCAGAAGTTGATCAGAAGGTTACAGTTGCATGTTTATTCACCCCTACCCCACCAATCCCCACCCCGGGGCCAGGAAATTATGCCAATTTTTTTTTTAAACACTGGACACAATAAGGTTTTAGGACTCACGTAGAAACATTTACATTTATGTTATAGTCATTACCCAACCTTTATTCAATTCCCCACCCCCCGGATACTTTTTATACACCCGACCAAAATGTACCCCCTGGATACTTTTTATACCCTGACCAAAAAGTACCCCCCTATAAAAAAATGATTTTTCTCTTCTTTTTTTTT